GTACCGCTACTAAAACCATCCACATTAGCAGATCAATGCGTGCTGTGTCACTGAAGCGCATCGTGCCGAGATCCTATATTTCTAGTCATCGCGAACCATGGAAGGTATCGTCATGGACGATACCAAAGTCGCGCTGGGAAGGCTTCAAAGGCTATCTGGGCAGCCCCACGTATGGCCAATCTTTATTGGCCATGTACTCGCCTGATCCTTAGGCACGTCAAGCCATTGAAAGATCATGATGATACCCAGCTAGTTGGCTGATTCGTTGTGCAGGGATGTGATTTCGAAGCAATCCAACGAGTCCAGCATGGATATTAGGTTGGGAGGCAGGTCTCGAGCGGGAGGACTTACTTTTGATCCCGTAATTATACGACGATCAGAGTAGCCCGCTCGAGCAATGCATGAATGAAGCTACCAGTGCCGCTTTCTCGCACACCAGCCGCCAGTCTGCGAGTCTATCAAGGGTCAAGACTAATGGATGTACCGGCGAGATACTTGGGGAAAGAAACAGTTAGATGCACTAGTGCAGGATCATATCGCACTACAGCGACCCTCATGTTGTTGCTCGTCGAGCAAAGCTTCCTCCTACGATAGATAGTACGACCAGCACTCTGCTTGAAGTCGTGGGTAGGTAAAGGACTCATTGATTTGTAGTCTGCCTGAGTCGTGAGGCCAATAATGTACTTTTCCGTTCTATGCGGCGATCGACTCAACTCGACAGAGGGCAGGTTCATCATCCGTCCACAGTGGATCGAGTGTTTCGTTGTTAAGGTGGTGGCTTAGCATGAACGACAATATAACATGCGTGATTCCTTTGGAACATATCAAGTCCATCGAGGCATCTGGATGCCATCTGATGCCCGTTTAGTATGGTGCGCCGCCTGAAGTTGCTTGAGGATATGCTTACTGATCATAGTACATGACCAATCGAGGTGACCGAGCATCTTGCTGGGACACGCTTCTTGCTATGCCTAAGAAGGTCAGAATCACTGGGAGAGCAAACTTTAGCATGACTTTTGAAGATGCTGCAGTGTTAGACCCACATCAGCTTGCACCTGCCCTTTCTAGCGAAGAAATACAGAAGTGGACTTGCCTAGGCTTCATATTGAAGTCCTGCCTTACAGTAGACGATACACTGTATCTCGGCCCCATCTCCGACGTCTGCCTTAGATCACTCACACGATGCAGGCATTCTGCGACTCGGTACCCTCTTAGGGCGCCTCGTACTACGATTATAGATACCTCCGGCCGGACAGAGATCTTGCGGAAATGGAGCGCATCGCAAGACGCGCACAGATTCAACACGGCTTGGCTGCAATGGCAGGCGTTCATTGATGATGTTCGAAAAGTCAAGGTTATCACAAGTGTGTTTAAGCATTGGGTGGAAAGGACGAGTACTCGAAAGAAGATGGTAGCAGCCAAGTACCAGTTTAATACGAGCTACCTACAAACATTATTCCTGCTACCAGGTACCTATTTCCACCCTCCATTGCCATGGCCCACACATCCGAGTTGTTAAACCGGCTATATTCAAGATATTTCAGAGCGAACTCGGCGGCTTCATGCTCAGCATTTTTGATATAGTTGCCATCATACCAGAAACGACATGAGAATAAAAGTCGACCGATAATTATATGACCCGACCAAGCTGTGCGTCTTCCTAAAAGTTGGTGCGTCAGATTGTGGATCACTATGGATTCTTTTGCAGATGAAAGGCAGCATACCGCGCTGTTCGGAGCATAGATACCAGCGTGGGCTCGATAATCTCCAATTGAGGCAAAAGTTTGTCAGCATTGCCTGGTATGAGACATGCCGTGCGGCGGCATGATCGTAGAACATTATGCGGATAGCTGCAAAGGTGAGAGGGTCTTGTACCAGGAACAAAAGTTGAGGAGTGGAAAGTGAAAAGTGGAAAGAATTCAAGTCGTGTGTTAGATCTGTGCGGGAGCGTAAAAAGGTATGAGGAGTAAATCTTCAGCAGATTGTGAAAGATTAAGCCCTCATCAGTGACGGCAAAGCCGAATCTCGATCACTCAGCATCTAGAGCATAATTGTCTTTCCTCGCAAGTAGCGAGCCGACCAATAGTCGGCCTTCCGCTCCTTCCCCTTTCTTTTTCTTCTGGGCGCCACTCGGCCTCCTTGCGTTCCAGAGTGTGACAGGAGTACCATAACACCTCTTGGACAAGCTGTAACCACTTCCCCTTGAGACGATGGAGGAGGCAGCTTTAACCCCTGTGTTCGTCCCACGGAATGCTTGCCAAATACCGATGATGGACCATTCGACATGGAGATGGTAGGTTGGATTTTCACCAGGTCGGTGTTGCGGAGTATTCCGTTCAGATGCACATTCCTCCATTGGTCCAGTACCGATGAATCTATCAAGTCTCCTTAGAATTCGTATTAGCTATGTGCCATCTGGCTGTGACAGACCCATTGCAGAATTCCACATCCTCAATGGCCGGCCTCAGCTTTCGGAAATCCTCTAAGATTTCCCCGATCAGATCATGTTCCCATTGATCTTCTCAACGTTAGTTATGGCTGTCCATCGAGACGTGATTGGAAGTGGCCGTACAGAGAGGCCCGCAATTGCAAATGCATGGTCGTGTAAAGAAAGGCTTTGTTGTTCGATCGTGCAGTAGGACGACGGCGCGATCCGTCGTTTTCCTAGAACCTGACGAGCTTGGCATTTTCCATTTCACGCGTGTGTTCTCACCCCAAATCTTCCATGGTTATTTTACCTTTCTACCTCTATTTAGAGGTCTATATATTATAATATCTAATTTTTAAGCTCTAAACGATTGAAGTACTTCGTTCATTAGCTCTCATAATTGCGTAAGATGCGAGCGGTCGTACGTGGTGTGATTTTTGCTTCCCCATCTCGATAAAGGCCGATGAAAGTCTACTCAGCGGACCAAAATGACAGGAGAATTGTTCCAAGTCAAATTGTGGAAGAATAAGCCCATGTCGAACGTATAGAGAAACGAATGCAGGCACATATTAACGAACTGACTACAGAGAGTTGTGGTACTCTCTCTTATCCAATGACTTGGTAAAAGAACCCACTTAACTCCATCACATCTAAGGGGAGGACGGGAGTGGGTGACTGGATGCATCAACATGGCGTACTTTGTCTCAATGGATCCTGTAATTTGTGTATCAATGCATTGGAAAGATCAGTGGGTCCAACTCTCACTACAAGTGCTCTCCCAATAATGGCTGCTTAATTCGTATCATCCAGCCAGATATACTGCAAATCAACAATATTGACACACAGGTCTCCCAATTTCTGCACTCTGTACTTGTGCAAGATCTTCGGTCCCAAGTCGTGTATAGAGCGCACGAGTATGCACAGGCAGAATTGTGCTCGGGTCACCGTGTACCTTGTAACATGGTGGAGCACCTTGTACTTGGGAATATGGTAGATCACTATATCGCGCTAGCGACTGTGATCGTGCGCTCTGTAACACGGTGGAGCAAGTGATTCGGAACATGACGGGGTGAGCTGCATTGCGTTAGTAGCGCCGAGCGCATATCATGACCTTTCGAACATGGTGGAGTGCACGGTGCCGTGCAAGTAACCCCCCGTTCGTGAACTCTGGAACATGGTGGAGCAAGATCTAGCCCGTCACACTGGAGATCTTGGAGTTCTGCTTTCAGGACAACATCATCCTGGGTCGTCTCATACGTCGCACCGGCTACAGAAAGGCCACACTCTCGCTTCGCCTCATTCTTAGGCACGTCAAGCCTTTGAACCCCCCAGACGAGATCATGATGATACCCAGCTATATGGTAAGCTGCTCTTGGCGGCAATCCATGCACCCATACATCGAAGCAATCCAACGAGTCCAGCATGGATGTTAGGTTCCGATCCCCACCCACGCTGGGATTCTCTGGTCGAAAATGACATATCTTGAGTCGGAATGCCAGGTTGGGAGGCAGGAGGACTCACTTTTGATCCCGTATACGACGATCAGTAGTGCCAGTGCTGCTTCGTCGCACACCAGCCGCCAGTCTGCGAGTCTATCAAGGGTCAAGACCACAGCGTGGTTTCAGGCATGCTCTGGCGCGGGGCGTAGCTGATGGACAGTCTACAGGATCCCTGCTCCACTGGGCAATCGGAGTGCTGGTCCGGCAAGGAGTGTCCTGGCAA